AAAGGATGTCTGCTTACCTGAAACAAAAGTTGTATATATTAGGAATTGTAACATGTATATAATAAAATAAAGAAAATGAATATATATACACCTAAGTAGTTACTATACTGTTTAGGAATATTATTTATTCAAGGGTGTATAAACAAACATCTCGAAATTGTCGTCTTATAAGCGTTTAAATTGGGTAAGGAGAGAACAACGCCCACTACGAAACCTTTGAAATCGAACTCCGCGTTGTTAAGCTTTATTGATCTGAATCTGATGAATATTCCTTATCTGGCAACAATGTTGGAATATACTGACCTAATTCTATAATATGAACCCAATTCCTTATTGAAATAAGCGGCCATTTTTTTGCAACATTAAAAAAACCGCATTATTCTTGTTCTCGTGAAAAATAAAATGAAGAGTACAACTAGGCCAAATATATAGATAGCGGCGTACTTTTAAACAAAGTAATATGTTGGTCGCACTGTATGTTTTTACCGCTTTGGTCACATATTAATTAATATATTATAGGACTCGGAAAAAATCTAATTTGTCATCGACACGCAAAAAAGAAGAATATATTATAGATCTATACCCCTTCTCGTCACTTCTTCAGCATGTGGTACAATTTGAATACAGTGTCAGGGCAACAATAAGCAATAGTTCGCAATATTATCGCTAATTTTGTATTCAGTATCGTAGTAGTTATATAATCTCGTTTCTTAAAAGTCGAATAACAACGAATAAAACATATACGTTCGTAAGTAGCCATTCGGTGCCATTTACATTCAACAGTAGTAACTGTATAGACGACCCGAATGGCGTTGCGGGTAGTGTACCTGCCTCCTGCGCCAGAGGGTGTGGGTTCGATCCCCACTACTGGATAAATATTGTGTGATGAACATAGTATTTTTCTAGTGTCTGGGTGTTAATATATGTATAATATGTATTTATTTACAAAAGAAAAGTATGTTTAAGTATGTTTATCAGTTTTCTAGTACCCATAGTATAAGCTTTGCTTAGTTTCAGACTAGAGAATGTTGTGTAAAAATGTATCCTAAAATATTTATTATTTATTATTATGTTATTATCTACAAAACTTACTAGATGGATCAGCAGAGTCTAGCACTAGCCCAGTGTAACACAATAAAACTAACAACGGACATAATAAAACAGCTCGGGGTCAAAGTCAAAATTCCTTCATTCAATGTGGGCTTTGTTATAAAGCTCTTATTGAACATTAAAAAACTACCACGCTGAGTGTCATTACACACACGCATTTTAAACACGATACCAGGTCAGCATGGGCGCAACGGAGCGTGTCGGTCCATTAAAAATGAAGCCATAACTCGGCCGATAATGACCGGCGCGGGTAATGGAGCGTGCGGCTATTTGCGAGCCCGGGGGTTGATTTCTGTACGGATTCGACTTTGGGCGTGTTAAAAAAATTACTAATGATAATTAAGCACGGCGCGAACTGTACATAGCCGCTCGTAACCCTTTGTGAGGGGCAGAGAACAGAACGGTGTGTTGTACAGCACGCCACGTGCGCGGGTTTTAACTTGGGGTTGAAGTTTAATTTATGGCCGTTTGAACGTTTTACTTTCAACTAAACACGTTTTACTTTTTTTTTAAGTTAACGTGAGCTTTGAAATGCATTGCAGTGCCGCTGTTTAAGCACTTTTACGACTGTTGTTTTAAGTGTTATAAAAATAAGGATGTCTCTGTGAATTACGTAGTAGGGCGATAAGTCAAATGATTTTACTAATGTTTCCTGGTTGAATGGAATGAACAAGCACTCTGATTGGTAGCGGTTTAAGACTGCGCAGGATTATTAGACTAAGCTTTGAGTTTAACATATCGTCGAAATATTTTTTTGTTCTAATTTCGAAAATATGTAGGTTTCCTCACTATGTTTTCCTTCACCGCGGTGCACCTGATAAGTCAGTACTTAAAATTAACAATTTCATTGGTCACCGGGGATCGAACTCAGGCTGCTGTACAGTACATTGAATTAAAGGCGAGTGCCCGGACACTGAGCTATCACCCCCAAAATCTGTACCCCGAATAAACTTGCATTAGGGAACCTAACGAAATAAGACAGTGATCCATACGGATCTAAATGATTATAACATTATTTCCCTTTATCTCTAAAGTAGGAATGAAAAGAAGATGGCGCGAAGAGAAAAGAGCCTTTCATTGAACCCGCGGACGCCCAATAAAGTAATTAAAACTGCGAGAGCGCCCTCGCTATCAGGTATCGGATAATGAGACGTGGCCGCCCGTCTACCGGGCTCGGGTTGCCGAGTGGGCCGCTCTGTAATCCTCGGGAAATGTAAATAATTATCCGGCGCGCGGATCGCTGCTCATTAGTGGAATAGGATCTTGTTCCGGCCGAAAGGGAGGCTCGAATCTTGGCGCCGCGTTCAGTGTTCGAGCGCATCCCGCTTGTAAGTATCGACGACTCGGAGAGATCACGATTGTGTTAAATGCATTTAAAAATGTATTAAAAGCACATACCAATTTGTTCAGTTAGATGAGAAGAGAAAAAGAGGAATATAAAAATAAGGTTTTATTGACATTTTATTGGTCCTTCACTGCTGGCCGTATGAGGAAGCTCAAAGTCGCTCAGCGAGCTATGGAGCGGGCTATGCTCGGTATTTCTCTGCGTGATAGAGTTCGTAACGAAGATATCCGCAGTAGAACTAAGATAACCGACATAGCTCAGAGGATTAGCAAGCTGAAGTGGCGATGGGCCGGCCATATAGCTCATAGAACCGATAACCGTTGGGGAAAAAAGGTTCTCGAGTGGCAGCCTCGTACTGGCCATCGCAGTGTAGGACCAGCCCCCCACTAGATGGAGTGACGACCTGTGCAAATGTGCGGGAAGTCGATGGATGCAGGTGGCTCAGGATCGTACTTCATGGCAGTCTATGGGGGAGGCCTATGTTCAGCAGTGGACTCAAACAGGCTGAAATGATGATGATGATGATGATGATTGACATAAGGTTTCACCATACGTAGTAAGTTTATTAAATGTCTTGTTTAAGTATTAACAGGTTTTCATAGGAAATAAGTACATAATCATGCGCTAATAGCTCATCGAATTTCACCTGCTTGTTTTTTTTATGTGAGAAGGGGGCAAGCGAGCTGGCGGTTCGCCTGATGTTAAGTGATAAACACCGCCCATTGGAATTTGCAACAACAGCCCGTAGGGCTACAGATGCGTTGTCTTACCTTCACCTTATAATAAAGTGCCTTGTGCATCTTTCGAGGTATTGGTACTGCCCCGGACCTACACATTCGTGCAACAGTGAAAACTGTTACTTGGCCCTACTTTAATACGTTAAATTAGTTTTTTAAAATAAACATTAGGTTTCATTACACTACAGCTTAAGCATACGGTAAACTTGCCATCGCTACTACAGTCATACATGCATAATATGACGGTTGTGTTAAAAGATCGATAAGAAAAGTAAAGAAAAAAAAAGGATTCAGCAGTTTGAAAAGATTTAATCTTGACAAGTCAAGGTGTTTGCGTCAGCTACTCGCATAAACAAATGTAATTAGACGATTTAAACATTTTCGAAACTGCTCACTCGGGCTTTTAAAATTGTTATACGGGAACAATAAACAATCCCGATAGGAGCCCGGAGATAAGAAATTGGCAAATATGAAACCTTTTTCTTATCTTGAAATTTGTTCCTTAATCCTAAAGTTTAATATTTTATAAAAGTATATAAAATTTCTGGATTGAATGTAAGTCAAACAGTTTCTCCAATTTTATTGCGTTAACTTTTTTTGTACGATTTTTAATTTAATCTCCCTAACGTTTCGAATACTTTAGCGAGACTATGTTCACGGGACTAATGCCATAGTTTCTTTTTCCCTAAAAACAAAAATCATCAGAATTTTCGTTTATTTAGTTTAATTCAGACTTCGATTAGTTTGAAATAAAACTGACAAACATATATGCCCATGATAATATTGACATGGTCACAGGCAAATAATCTCATCCCGAGTCTTATTTACATAAGACTCCGTCTCCACTTACCAACAGGCGAGATAGTAATCTAGCACTGACCACATTTTTCAACTTTATTCAAAAAAAGATGAGATTCTGATTTCAGTTGTCATACCTCAGAACATGGTAATTTATGAACCGTTTTTAAAATTTCCTCCAGCATTGTATTCGTTTGAGCTTCTATGTGGTTTCATATCGTTTTTATTGGAGTATAACCTTGGGCTCAGAAGGTATTTCTCGGGATTCCTCAAAACTAAGTAGAGAGTGATATATTTGAAGTTGGTTTTGTTTATTGTAAGTAAAAATGTACTTTTAGTAAGACAAGATTTTCGCCAAGACATTTCCTGCAACGATCAGTCATCACCACGCCATCATCGTGGTCGAAGCAGTTAAATAGTTAAGTGTAAGTTTTGGAACCGAAATTCATTGATGGATTTGAAACATAATTCCCATACTGTGCTGAAGTCAAAAAAAGTAAAGAAGTATAAATTTAATGGAATAAAAATTAGAACTCGGAACAGAGACAGGAAAGAGCCGAGAAAGAGGAAGCGAATAATTTTGCATACTTACAAAGTACCGATAAAATTGCAATAACTTCACGACCACCACCTGCTATTACACGTATTAGATTGTCGTGATAAAAATACTCAATTTTATATCGATATGCGTATCAAAATCGCTACATTTTTCTATTGTGAAAAGGCAACAAGCCAGCTGGGGGGCCCCCCTAATGTTAAGTGATAACTGCCGCCGATACGTGGCCACCTTTTAATAAAGTGGGCCACAGCTACCTCACTCACCAGACAACAAGAAGAAGTATAACACTTCCACTTGACGCCGGTCTTCTGTGAGGTCGCGGTACTTCCCCGGACGGACTTGCCCATTCGTGCAACAGAGAAGACTGTTACATGGCCCTACCGCACTTAAAATATTTTATATCCGTATTCCCTTTGCAAGCGTTTTCATAAATTTCTTATTCTGTCCTCACCTTTTCGTATCATTAGATCCGACGTTACGTCATACAACAGCAGCGACTTCACACACCAACTGTCGGGCGTAGTTAACGAACGCAGCTTCGTCACACGCCGCGTCTCGTCAACGCCGGTGTCAGCGCCAGAGAACAACGCTCCTGACGAGGTGACGTTTCTGTGCCGCCCGCTAATCTCGTTCGCGGACGCCTAGGGCGCTCCCTTATCGCGGAGCGTGCTCGTTGGCATGCATGAGACGCGCAAACACCCGAGGTAAACACAGCGTAGCGAAATTTCGTCAACGTTAGGTAAAGAATAAGGCGTAGATATGTTCAACTAAGTGATACCCGCGATACCCGCGGTCTTTGCATACGTTGGCCATTATATTAACAATTGTACAGAAACAAAACTCAAATCACTTGCGATACATAGTGTTCATAAAGACATCTTTTTAGATGTTTATTTATATAAGGGTCAAGTGTTTGAGAAATAATAAGACTTAGAAGAATTGATTCAAATCTATTTTAATTGATGGGCGCACAACGGCCGACTTTATGACGTCATTATATTCATATAGATGAGATTAGAGCCATACTGTAGTTGGCTGTTTTACCAGTGAATTACTATGACAACACAGGAAGGTCTACGTATTATTTACACATTTCGTATAATAAGAGGTCAGATAAACGGAACGCACTATCTCATAGACAAACGTTATTATTAAATAAAATTTCATGTATAGTACTATATAGTATATTTATAGTCTAGTATATTTTCGTATCCGGGTATTTCATTTGTTTTCAATTCCGCAACGCTTTTTTCCAACTGGAATAGTTTTTTTTCAACTGGAAACGGCAAATCGAAAATCCTTCAGACTATCAGCAGTTGTCAGGCTTGTTTGGCAGTTGAAATAGATTCGCAGGCAGGAACCTGCGTCTGAGCCTTTCTGTTCGAACGCGTGAGTAAAAATGCATACAGAGAGACAAGGAAGCCGATAAATAACAATAAATTACCCCAAACGAAAGCTTTGGTACGGTATTCCGTTAAATAGATAAAATAAGGGTTAGCTTGTATATTTTTTTGTCTTACCATTTGATCGGTCCTGTTCTTGACTAGACGTGGGTTTATGAGACTGTAAATTGACAAATGTAGCATTGGCATAAAACAAACGTAACAAAGGTATTTACATAAAGTAAAAAAAAGAAATTTACAGTTATATATGTCCCACTGCTGGGCAAAGGCCATCTCTTTACAGATTTTTTTATGGCACGGTCCACCACGCGACCTCACGGCGAATTTGCGAACTTAAATTATTTTCAAAATATTTTTTTCGATGTTTCCTTCACCGCTGAGTACGTGACAAATCAGCACTTAAAATTAACTGTTTTATTGGTGCCAGCACCTGGGTTTAAACTCAGGTGCTCGAGTATATCGAATGAAATTAGAGTGTCCAGACAAGGAGCTATCATGGCACTGTTATTTATTTAAAACTGAGTAAAACTAAATTAAGGCGAGTAACAATAGCAAGCCGTAGCTATGGTTCTAATATGAAAGTTCCCTTAATATTCGCAGTGCGCCCGAAATTGGACAACCGCTCCAACAATTGACGGGCATGAATACTCGAGGTCCGACACGTCGCGAGACAAAAATAGCCTCGGAATCGGATCTCGCTCTATTTAAACAACCGTTCCGAAAGACAGGCGCGTTTTTATATCCATTGTATCTTTACAATGTTCTCTTGTAAAAACGTCCAAGGTCATTTTCCGTTTTTTTATCGTTTAGTTTTACGACAGGGCCTATTGAAATTGCCTATAAAATCGTCACTATATTTATGATGTCGGAAAATATTGCCCGCGCTCTGCCGTTTTACGGTCCCCTATGACGTATGGTTATTGCAGCTCTTTTTCCTTGTGTTTAAAGGAAACTCCCTCGGGCGGCCACTGTCTCGGGAAAACCTTAAGCAACAATGTTGATTATTTTCAAAGATCGAATTTCAGAAGCGACAGCTGTCACAAAAGTGTCGTTTTTTTCGACATAAGGAGCAGTGGCATTGTCATGTACGTTATTTACGTATTTAATATTTATAGTCACGATTTTGTCTAACCATGCGATTACGAATTTGTCATGTTACTGCTTTACAAAACGAGATGACTACATTAAAGATCGTGATTGAAAACTTATTATGATAATTTAATACTCGAACAGAAATATTTTAAAGCTTGAGTAGTCTTCAATTAAATTTAAAGTCGTTACGTTTTAATCTGCAACGGTCTTCGGTCACGAAACGGACAGAGGACTTCTTATATTTTACATATTTTTATTTTACATATTTTTGGAAAACTTACAGCTAGCATATTTTGTGATCATATTTTTAGGTTATGAGTATTTTCTGATTAATTTAACAATAAAACAAAATAATAATAAATACGTTGCCACGATATAGCACCTTAACTTTGTACCCAGACACGGTTAACCGACTTGGTATGGCTACTAAGCACTGGCTAGGTTAAAAGTGAAAAATTATATATAATACTTGCGGACCGGATAGACGTTGTGCTGTACTTACGACTTAAATCCGATAACTCAAAAAAAAAAAAAAAAAACTGTAAATCTAAACCATTTTCGAATTGAACTGAAGATACAAAAAAATAAATAAAATAGGTCCAGCCGCTTAGGAGGAGTTCAGTGACATACACACGTATAGTAGAATTATATACATATATAAAGATATATAAGTGAAAAATGAATACCAGCCGCCTTTATTCAACGCATACCCAACCCAAGAGATCATTACGTAACCTGTTTGTTACCGTAATCGCGGGCTGGAGCACCGACGTGCAGACGGCAAACACCGTAGACAGTCTCGGTGCAAACTCGCCCCCACACCTAAGTGGCCGTCAAATAAATTAACCGATCTCACCCCGCCGCGGGGGCGGGCGTGGCGATTTATGCAGCGTGGCGCGTCGTAATGGTGCTGTCGACGGTGCCGGGACGAGATTTATCGCCAGCGCCGACTGACTGACTGGGAGTACCAACTTTGGCCGCATTCGTCGCGGAGCCGATGACAGATCGGTATAATTCCACAACTACTGCTTTTGCATTTCTAGATTCAACCTCATTGCACCGAGCAGCGGTCAAGTCGCTGGTTCGAGCGCCGCTGTGGGTCCCGCCATTTTTTATGCGAGCTTGCGGTTCACTTGATGTTGAGTGATAACCGCCGCCCATTAACATTTGCAACACCCGTTGCAGATGCGGTGCCACATTGTAATGAAGTGGGCCCCGGCAACCTCGCTCTCTAAACTAAACGCAGAAGTATTACACTTCCACTTCACGCCGCTCTTCTATGAGGTCCTGGTACCCGGACGGACCTTCCCGTTCGTGCAACAGCCGAAGACTATTCTCATTATCTTTCTATTATATATTTCTTTATCGGAATATAGAGTTAGGGTAGGATTAGTTCTTATATTGAAGTTTGTATTTTACTCTTTAGTTCGGTTTATAGTTACAGTGTATTTTTTTAATATTATTTCAATGAAACACGACTCCTATATGTTATACAAACTTTTTCTCGGAAAGTAATCGAACAAGCGTATAGTAAGGATTTCCAAGTTCCGGTTCAAAAATCGAAAATTTCAATGTTATGAGAAGTAGGATGCGTGAAAGTGTACCGGCAATTTATCATGCATCTCATCATATTTAATATGATGCGTTGTAATTTTTACGTTTTGTGCGAATTCAAAATATTTGATTTAGATACTAAATACACATGTAGTTATTCCAAATACAACAGTTTAATATTCCAAAGCGAATAAATACGTTTAGTAAATTTATACGTCATGCAAAAATGAATCACAAATTTGTTGCGATTTTACAAGCGCCAAAGAATAGCAAACGAACACCGTTTTTTTGGCAAAATATGGAACTAGGTGCTTGAAATTCAAATTTAGACATTCCCAAAAAAAGGGGAAAAACAATTCTCGCGCCATCAAATATTCAAATTGAGAAACATTCTATTTACTGTCAAAAAAATTCTCGCTGGGAATCAACGACCACAAATTGGGAGCCGTCGCCGAAAGTATTAATTAACATAGCGAAATAAAAACAAAAAGAAATAGCAAAAAAAGTAAAAAAAAAAAAACACGACATCAAAGGGTAAAGCGTTGCAGCTTTGAAACAAACAACTGCTGGTACTAATGAACGTTCATCGCCCGAGCGCAGTCAAAGTAGCTCGCAATTCTGTGTTTGACATTAGAAAATGAAACAACTTGGGGCGTAATATCAAAGACACTAATGGATGTTATGCGCTCATATTTAGGGAAATCCGCCGGTGAAGGCCGTTCAATATACATTCTAAAATTGTATACAAATAAATAAAATAAAAAAGTAGAATATAAAAACAGAAATATAGTTAGAAATTTACTTAGTACAGAAAAATTGTAAATTAACATAATGTTTCTTTTAATGAAGATGATGCATGTCCATTCGGCGGGGCGTTTAAAAATTGATACGCTTTACACATTTTTGACATATACATTAGTGACATAATATATATCTGACAGATGATATAGAACGTATGATACGGAAAGAGATAACAGCCTACAGAGCTGCTATCTAATCACACAAATACGCGTAATTTGAGTGCCTTTTTTATGTGAAAAGTTGCCAAGCAAGCGGACGGTTCACCTGATGTTACGTGAATACCGCCGCCCATGGACATCTGCTACACCCGAGGGTACCAGACGCGTTGACAACCTTTTGAAAAATTGGGCTCCGGCCACCTCACTCAACAGACGAAACGCGAAAGTATTATACTTCCACTTTACGCCGGTCTTCTGTGAGGTCGTGGTACTTATCCGGACGAGCCTGCCCATTCGTGCAACAGCGAGGCTGCTGCGTGGCCCTACCACCGTAAAATGCCTCCGTTTCGGTGCGCTAATGTCATCAGATCTACCTCGTATTTGTATACAATAACATTGAATTAACATCCTATATGTATATGTCCAAAATCTGGACAAAGGGCTCCTGTGTACCGGGTATTAAGACCTAGTCCACGACTCCAGACAGGAAATCTGTGAAATCTAGACCCAAATTTCGATCCTCCCTTTAATAGAAAATTCTGGAATAACAATATTCTTTTACCCTAAACTAAAAATTAAAAATCACTTATGTCGTACAAAACTGCCAAGTCGAAGCGCTTACAATCAACGCTGTCGTAAAATTATAATCCTATTCAGGCATATCTTCATAATATATTCTGTCAAAACACCTCTTTTAACAACAACACCACTACGTGACAATAAAACACACTTCCTTCATCATCCTAATATACCCCCAACAAGACACTATTTACCTGTACAGAGTATTTTAATAACTTAAATAATATTACATACTTGGTGTTCTTGGATTTCAATTGTATAGACTGCTATCTGTTTCCATATTATACGTTCTATATCATCTGTCACAGTCACTTATACATATATGCCATATAATTTAAAGCGAAACAGTTTTTAAACGCGGCGCAGTATCGACTTGCGTCATCTATATTATTAAGCATCATTGGAGTAAAACAGTAAACAGTAATATTTTGCTGTGGTAGGCCCTAGTACCTGCTATTTCAAAAATGGCCAGGCTCATTCTTGAAATAGCAGGTACTAGGGCTCAGCTTTGGTGACGACTAGAGCGTAGTTGATCATGCTTGGGCTTTCTGTCTACTGAGTGTGGTAACCGGGATTCGCTCTTGTGAACCACCTGCTCCCTAGCCACATTCTCATAAGGAAAAAAAATCTGCACGGACGATTTAATATTTTAGTAGTCGTGTAATTATTGAATAATTTCACTAGTCCGAATGGTTGTGTGTACAAGAACATAAACACACAGGTCCCTGTAGTTATTAACGCATCAAACAGTGATGATTAATTCTTTAACCATCGTTAAGGGTAGTTCTTGGGCCTCCTTTGACCATGGGTCGGATTTAAATTCGCTAATACAGTCGACCTGTTGAGTTTCGAGCGCAGTTGTTGCCGTAATTAGCTATCGAAATTGCGTGGAAGGGTGATGTCACATCATTAGTAGACTATCCGTTTTGCTTTCAGTTTTTATGTTTTTTTTTTTATTTCGAAATAAGCGAGTGTGTGCTTTTGCTATGTGGGCTTCCGTTTGCTACCAAAGCAAAGATGAAAGAAGTATTATTAATGAATTGTGTACTTTGAAATAAAATAGTTGTTTGGCATTTATAACCTGTATTTGTTTTACTTGTTAATAGTGTTTTGACAATCAATAAGTAGGTGTAATGCTTCTATATTGAATAAAGATATTTGAATTTGATTCTTAGCGTAAAAGTGTAGGGAGTTAATTTTGTTCGTCTGTATGGTGTCAAGCGGATTTCACAACCAATTTAAAATATTCTAATTATAAATAAAACTTTAATACGAACATTTTGTACAGATTTTAATTCAACCAAAAAAAACAACATTGACTTAAAAAATATGCGCACAGTAAACTAAAATATTTACATTCTAACATTTTAGTCTTGGCAGATTATCCAGTGTAAATCAAACAATAGGGCTCACTGTCTCAGATGTTAGATTGACTGTAAAATTTTTCCTGTATTGATATAAAAAATGAAATAATTTTTAAACGCAGCTCGTAAAAATACTAAAGTGAACTCAAATAACACTACGCAAAATAAAAATGCAAATATTATTCCGAGAAGATTACGACTCTCATTACGTTCAGCAGTTAAATATCAGCTGAGAGCTTTGTCAACAAAATAATAAATGAAAGACCCCATCGAAACACCACAAGTAGCAATAAATGCAACTATTTGATTAAATTATATTGTCTCTTATCTTATCGACCGATCTAGGAATTGTCAAAAATTCCTTTGACTATTGTGTCAGGGCGCTTGCCAGGGTTGTACAAAGCGAGAAGTCGTTTAATGTTTACCATTCGAAAAAATTTCAGAAGGACTACCACTTTATACATTTACTAGATTATTTGTTTGTTTTATCTAATGGATAAAACAAACAAACGAAAGAAACTTTCATCTCTTTGAAAATGAAGCAGGTGGTTAAAGATAGGTAATGAAAATCACAGTAGATATGAACATAAAAAATTGTGGAAAAAACAGAGAAGATATGATTTGACATTTAAATTAGAACGTCTTTAATTTTTGTATTTACGCAAATACCATACATGGTTAAACAATATTATTTCACGGATAGTAAAAACCCTTGAACACTGTAAAATGTTCGTAACGTTGGAAATTTAAAAACAAAACCCGATGAATTATGTAAAAATGGCTTTATTTAACCTCATATAAAATAGTAGTTCATCATCATCATCATATCAGCCGTATGACGTCCACTGCTGAACCAAGGCCTCCCCCATCGGGAAATTGCGCAGGTCTTTACGTCCAAAACACCACAGTCCTTAAAGACGAAAGTCTTTAATCAGTGCGTGCTACCAGCGATGACCTACGGTGCCGAGACGTGGTCTCTCACTATGGGCCTCATACGGAAGCTCGCGGTCACACAACGCGCTATGGAAAGAGTTGGGGTTTTTCTACGAGATCCAATCAGAAATGAGGAGATCCGTAGAAGGACTAGAGTTGCCGACATAGCAGAGCGAGTCAGCAGGCTGAAATAGTAGTTACTACGATATAAATATAAGTTCAAAAATATACCATTCTGTGGAACATTCACGAGACCTTTTCCGTTTTTTTTTTGTTGAAAGTTTAGAAACCATACTTGAAGAGAACTATATTCCGGTCCGCCGCGACAACCCTAGTGGGGCAGGGGCAGTATCGTAGAATGAACGACAAGGGGCGAAATGAACAAGAGAAAATAAGTCATTAATAGGAAATAACACTGTATCAGTTGTGGGGATCGAAAACAAGATGACTGCGTCGATAAAAGGTGGGCAGGGCAACGCACCCTCGGATATAAATTTATTAAGGTCCACTACTTATTGTTTATGACTTCGACAAACCCACGAAAACATACAACGGTGTATTTCATTTCAAAAGGAAAAAAACTTTGAAACGTTT